TTAACATGGTAGCGTTAACATGGTAGCGTTAGCATGGTAGCGTGAACGTTAGCATGGTAGCGTTAACATCGTATCGTTAGCATGGTAGCGTTAGCGTGGTAGCGTTAGCATGGTAGCGTTAGCGTGCCGGCGTGGGCACACCTCCTGGAAGAAGTGGGCGGATTGCCTGTGTCTCATTTGCATTTAACTCATTGACTGCCAGAGTTTTTTGAGCATTTTGACTGATTTTTCTAGAGCCACAGAATAGTTTGTGCTATGACTATGTAAACACCGAACACACCAAAAGAAAGAGTAGACTCTCTTCTTTCATCAGGAAAAAAAATGTGTTTCTACCTTATTCCGTTCTTCCTGGACTTGCGTCTCACCGGCGACATGTTCTCTCATAGAACCGTTCCCTTTTTCTTATTTGCCTACAGTCTATGCTCATCTCCCATCAAAAGTGGCACTGCCCCCTAGAGGCTCAATTTGTTACTACATACTCTGTCTAGAAGCCGATATTTACGGACAAGCTTTAGCAGGTCGTCCCCCAGACACTCTCGCTGAAAACATAAAAGACGTCTATAGACGTCTTTGGCAGCCAATGAGTTAAAGAGACAGGCACTCCAAAGCGAGCGCTCTGAACGGGGCTGTTTTGGGTTAGGGTTAGGGTTAGGGTTAGGGTTAGGGTTAGGCAGGGGGACTGAACTGCTATTGGGCTTCATCCTTATGGGATTCTGACCAAAGCTTGTCACAGACATTACATTAGGACACCAGGGAACTAGCTTAACTTGTTGAAATAGGGTATAATACGACTCCTTTAAATGTGTGGTTGGAACAGCTCACATCCAATTAAAATGGACTTTAATTGAGAGGGGGTGTGAAGGGAGGTGGACTGTTTGCTATCCAGGAACCAGGATCCAATTTTTTGTCCGGCATTCCTGCGGATCTCAGCTCAAAACAAGCAAAACCTTTATGGGATTTTGACCAAAGCTTGTCACAGACATTACATTAGGACACCAGGGAGCTAGCTTAACTTGTTGAAATAGGGTAGAATATGTCTCCTTTAAAGCTGAGCCTCCTCTTCCTCACAGACCTTTGTGAACGGCCTGTACAGCAGCGATAAGGAGGTGTGGATCGGGCTTTCCGACGGGGGCCTGGAGGGCCAGTGGACCTGGGTGGACGGGAACCCTCTCACCTTAACGTAAGCAGATCCACACAGCATGTCAGGAAGGGTGGATCTTGGAGGAGGACTCAGGCGCGGAGATTCAATTCAATTCAGTTCTATTTCTATAGCGCCACATCACAACAACAGTTGTCTCACAGCTTTCCAAACAGAGAAACTCAGACCCTACTCTGAAGTTAAATACAGAAACCCAACAATTCCCACCATGAGCAAGCACTAGGCGACACAGGCAAGGAAAAACTTCCTTTAACAGGCAGAAACCTGGAGCAGAACCATGGCTCAGGGTGGGCGGCCATCTGCCTCGTTTCCAGCCTTATAACTGTCAGGATTTGGCTATAAATACTCACTTTAGCATATTCAATTAAATTCAATTCAATTCAATCTTATTTATATAGCGCCACATCACAACAACAGTTGTCTCACAGCTTTCCAAACAGAGCAGGTCAGACCTACTCTGAAGTTAATTACAAAAACCCAACAATTCCCACCATGAGCAAGCACTAGGCGACACAGGCAAGGAAAAACTTCCTTTAACAGGCAGAAACCTGGAGCAGAACCATGGCTCAGGGTGGGGGGGCATCTGGAGATGACGAAAACAGGGTTTATTGTAACAAAACAGGTTCAAAAAGTGAATGTCCAGACAAAGTTCAAATCAAGGCTGTGAAAAACTATGAGCAAAGTATCAAAGCAATAAGTAAACAAGTCTGTGGCAAAGTATCAAATTATGAATAACAAAACTGTGACAAAACATGGCTATGACGAAAACATGGCTTTGGCAAAAACATGAACCAAGTATCAAATTAGGTAAAGAAGGCTATGGCAAAAACATGGCTATAACGAAAACTTGGCTATGGAACAAAAACATGACTATGGCAAAGTAACAAAATAAAGATTAACAAGACTGTGGAAAAAATCAAACCTGAACATGGGGGTGACGAAAGACAAAAGACAGAAGAAACGAGAAGGATGAAAGACGAAAACACACTGGCACAGGACATGGGAAACGAGGACTATTTAAACACATGAGGGAGGGAACCCCAGGTGAACACAATAGGTAATCAAGACATGACAACACACCAGACATTCCCCCAGACGTGACACAGCAGAGCCTCTATGGATGATTTAACCGGTCCCAGGACCCACTTCTGTGTTAAATATTGGTGTGTTGGTTCAAATCTTCCATCAAAATACTCTGTAATTCCTAGAATTGGTTCCACAGCCCAACAACATCTGAACAGAGAATAGAATAGAACACTTTATTGGTCCGACAGTGGAAAAAAAGGTGAAAAAAACAGTGGAGGCATAAATAAATACAGGTTATTTACAATGCAACAAAATAAATAAAGGTAAATTACAAGTGAAGTTATTTAAATATAATAATATGATTATTAAAATATCAAAATGAAATACAGTAAAACCTCCACAGAGTCTAACTGGTTCCAGGAGAGACGTCTGTGTTAAATATTGGTGTGTTGGTTCAAATCTTCCTAGAATTGGTTCCAAAAACCTACGATAACTCCTTAATAAATACTGCAGATAATCACACATAGCAAGAAAACAAATGAAGAGAGATGAAAAAAGAAATAAATGATGCAGAAATAATCAGTAAAAAGGGTTTTTATTGTCCCTTTAGCTCAGAGACTGAAGAACGGAGGTAGAGGTGGAGACTGAGATACAGGACCAGCCTTAACTCACTCTGACTTTGAACTTAACTTATTCATTTTGACTTAGTTTTATTTTTAATATATTTTTTCTATTTTTCAGATGAAAAAAAAAACTAACTTTCATTACATAAACTTAAAACTAACTTAGCTTATTTATTTTTCATATTTTATATATTTTCTATTTATCAGATTTTTAAAATCTAACTTACATGA